CTTCCTGCAAGATGCTTGAAGTCCAATGTGAAGTTTCCACAGTCTGTGTTGATTTGGGGAGCCATGTCATCTGCTGGTGTTGGTCCACTGTGCTTCGTTAAGTCCAGGGTCAACGCAGCCGTCTACCAGGAGATTTTGGAGCACTTCATGCTTCCTTCCGCAGACGAGCTCTATAGGGATGCTGACTTCATTTTCCAGCAGGACTTGGCACCTGCCCACACTGCCAAAAGCACCAAAACCTGGTTCAATGACCGTGGGATTACTGTGCTTGATTGGCCAGCAAACTCGCCTGACCTGAACCCCATAGAGAATCTATGGGGCATTGCCAAGAGAAAGATGAGAGACATGAGACCGAACAATGCAGAAGAGCTAAAGGCCGCCATTGAAGCATCCTGGTCTTCCATTACACCTCAGCAGTGCCACAGGTTGATAGCTTCCATGCCACGCCACATTGAGGCAGTAATTTCTGCAAAAGGGGCCCAAACCAAGTACTGAGTACATATGCATGCTTATGCTTTTCAGAGGTCCGATATTGTTCTATGTACAATCCTTGTTTTATTGATTGCATGTAATATTCAAATTTTCTGAGATTGTGGATTTGGGGTTTTCATGAGCTGTAAGCCATAATCATCACAATGATGACAAATCACGGCTTGAATTATCTTGCTTTGCGTGTAATGAGTCTATCTCATATATTAGTTTCACCTTTTAAGTTGCATTAGTGAAATAAATGAACTATTGCACAATATTGTAATTATTCGAGTTTCCCCTGTAGGTGCTATCAACCTTGAAAGAGAACCAGCCATGGCTATCCAAGAGTATTCATTGTAAAAATATTACAATTTTGTAGGTTTACTTTCTATCCTTTAGATTCGTTAGACTCTACAGCTTAAAGTGACACTAAACTCAGGAGTTAAATCTTAAAAATGTACTTAAGTACCCTAATTATTAACATAAATGTATGTTATTTGTGTATCACTCGGCTGTAGATCCTCCAATTATCTTTGAATTGGTGCTGACACTGTCCTTCCTTCTGGAGGGGGGCTACTTTTGTTCCCCGTGGTCCCTGTGTGTTTTGTAAAGTAGTCACCGCTCCAAGCTCGCTCCCTGGGATAGACTACAGTCTCAGTGCAAATTAGTAAACTAAAAGGAGATTGTAGTCCAACCGGGAGTGAGCTTGGAGCGGTGACTACTTTACAACACACACAGGGACCATGGGGAACAGACGTAGCCCCCCTCCAGAAGGAAGGACAGTGTCAGCACCAATTCAGAGATGATTGGAGGATCTACAGCCGAGTGATACACACATAAGATACATTGTTGTTCATAGTTAAGGCACTTGAATGGAGTTTTAAGATTTAACGCCTAAGTTTGTTGTCACTTTAACCCTAAAAAAAATAATAATAATCAAAACTTGTGAAAAAAGTGTTTTCTTCTAGTTTTTTTCCTCATTTTTTTTATTTTATTCAAACTAAGTGAGGGGTTAGGTACACATATGTGATATAATTATATAGCCCTATCTGTCCTCTAAAAAACAATATATAATATGTGTGGGTACATTTAGTAAGAAAGTATATTACTGCTGTGGAAGAATCACACAGCAAAAATGTAAAAAATGTGTCAGTCATTTATGAACAGAACCTGAAAACTAGCTCAGTCATGAAGGGGTTAAGGTTCTCAGGTTGCTTGTTTTTTTAAAATGTATTTATTTTGGTCTTTTTGGGTGAACTTGATGGACATTTATTTGGTCTTTGTTTCAATATAACTATGTACTATTAGACTGCATATTTTTTCTTTGTAGCTAGTTCTCTCTAAATAGAACTGTGAGCCCTTAACATTTTGAAATCTAAAAAAGAAGTTACCAAAGACCCCAATTCAACTGAACATTGACCATAAATAGAAAAATGACAAATTTCATAATATTACTTTTGGCTTCACCCTTTTACTGACTTTATGTGATAAAAAGACCTCTTAAGTGCCTCCATAAGATCTTTATTCCTCAGACTGTAGATCAGAGGATTAAGCAAAGGGTTAATGAGGGCATACATGACTGAAAACAGTTTGTTCACATTGTACATATTGCTGGAGGTGGGAACCAAGTAAATGAAAATTAAGGAGCCATAAAAGATGAAGACCACCGTGAGGTGTGATGTGCAGGTGGAGAAAGCTTTCAGCTTCCCGGTCTTGCTACGGATTCTGAGAATGGTAATGAAAATACGGACACATGGAAGAAAGGTCAAAAGAAAGGCTCCTAATCCAAGACTAGCACCTGCTATGAATATGACGATTATGTTTACGAAGGGGTCAGTACATGCAATTTGAAACAAGTGTGGAAGGTCACAAAATAAGTTGTGGATGGAAGTTGGACCACAGAAGGACAACCTGGGCAAAAATAAAGTATGAATCAAAGAGCAAATACATCCCACAACCCAGACCACAGAGGCCATATAAGCACAGACTCTCCAAGACATAATTTGTGTGTAATGAAGAGGGTGGCAGATGGCAATGTAGCGGTCGTAGGACATGGCCGAGAGTAAGAAGAGCTCTGAGCTGGTAAAGTAGAGAAAGAAGAAGACTTGGGCTGTACAGGCAGGGAGGGCAATTGATCTGCTTTTGGTGACCAAGTCAAAGAGCATCCTCGGTGCAGTCACCGATGAATAAGACATGTCCAGAAAAGCCAAGTTGCCAAGAAAAAAATACATGGGGTTGTGCAGATGATGGTCAGTGAGGACCAGGAAAAAGATAAGAAGGTTTATGATAAGAGTCATCAGGTAGATTAGAAGGAAGAGTACAAAAAGTCCATTCATGGTTGGTGGATGGTCTGATAGACCCACAAGAATCAGAACACCAATCTTTGTGAGATTCTCCATATTATTAATTTTTTACTCTCCAAATAAATATTTATTACAGAGAAGCAATTATGAGCAATTTTTAGAAACAAAACACATAAAGCGTGGCCATAAGTTTCATGAAGTTTCCAAGTGGATATTTCTTTCAGCACTTGAAATGCGCAGATATAAAATCTTTACATTCCCCGTAGACCTGCGTCTGTTATGAAAACACAAAGCTGCATTTCTTGTGCAATGTCTCTGGAGAGGTCATTTGAAAACCAATTTAGTGCTCTTCTTTTGACTCATTTATTTTAATTGCATAATTATAAATATGATTTTGTTATTTTTCGTTGTATAATGATACATAAGAATCTATTGATTGGAAGTTATTTTTCTAGCATTAGTTTAATTTCTGTGTAATGGACAATTGTAAAAATATAACGTATGTATTTTTTTGTTTTGTATATTGCTGTGCCCATTTGCAACCTTTCTCCTTTATTTTGCTGGTTTCAATCTGATCTGAGCAGCTGCCATTCTTGTTTTTTTAGATGTGGTGCAGACACACTGTAAGCTTTAAACCCCGATAATGTCTGGGCTTCCGGGGTGATGCTCTACCTATAAAGAGAACCTGTGCTCAGGTTAGGTGTAATGGAAATCAAGTAAAATGACCATTTGTTTTAATATATATATGTAGCTACTCTTTACATTCCTTGATAAAAATGACTTCTTCTCTATCTGCCTCCCCCTCCCATCGTTTGAAGAACGAGAAACTAAGATGGTGCCTCCTCTCGGGACTACACCCAAGATAACGATGTTTTGCTCCTGGAGGAAGTTTACCTTATATGGACATAACCAATCAGAAGCTTATAACGCTACGCTCACATGACCTTGGCACACAGCACTAGCTGCTTGTCTATATAAACCCTTGTGCCTTAGCGTAATAAACAGAAGCGTCATAGACCTCAATCCTGTGTCTGTGGATTCTTCCGGTGCACCGAATACAACATAATTAGGAACAGCAGCAGATATCTTGTGTGAACCCAGTTGTGGTTCTGATCCATTTCACAGGCACGCTAAAGTATTTACATATTCTGAACAAGCAGTAAAAGCATATTAACACAAACCCTCACTCACCTCTGTACCTATAAGCATTGTGCAGAAATTCATTTTTAAAGTGCACAACACAGGCAATGTGGTCTTAGCTCTCTACTATTACTTTCTGTTGTTTATTTATTTTTTGTTTTATTTATTATTGGTATGTATATAGTGCCGGTGTTCTGTCGAAAGCTCCAACGAGAAGGCTGTACTGCACGTGCGCCACCCGCTGCATTTCCCTATACACAACATGCTACACAGCAATAAAGTATTACAATGAACTAGGATCACACCTTTCCAGCACGTTCTTCATCAGAGTTGCCCCACTCAATATGGTCACCGCTAGCGGCCACATTGGGTGGGGCAACTAACATGAATAACGTGCTGGATTAGTCTCACCCTAGTTCATTGTAATACTTTATTGCTGTGTACTATGTGTATAGGGAAATGTCGCGGGTGGCGCAAGTCCAGTAGAGCCTTCTCGGCCAAACCTCTTACTTCTCACTAAACCGGAAGTCAGGTCGTTGGAGATCTCGAGGAGTTAGAACTTTTGATAGAACACCGGCAATTTATCTGGGCAGCCGGCCAGTCCTCCAATGTAAACAACCAGAAGTGTGTCTATTCCCTAAGCTGACGTAGGCAGCCAAGTGAATAACCGACTCGAAGTGAAGTGAGCCGAACGCTGTTTGGCTATTCACTTCAGGCTTGTACAGCTGATTTCAGCTGTACACCGACTGAAATCAGCAGTACGTTGGCTTGCTTCGGCTAGCTTCAGGTCGGCCAAACATGCTCGGCATGTTTGGCCGACCCGAAGTGCAGAAGGAGTTGGACTCAGCCGATCCAACATCTGGATCGGCTGAGCCGAACCTCCGGCAGGCTACTCGCTGCTGTTCGGCCTATTCTCACAGAGGCTGAACAGCAGTGAATGAACAGCTCGGCGGCATTCGGCTCGGCTATTCTGCCCGGTACCTCTGTGGTAAAAAAAGAAAAAAAAAAAGAAAGAAAACCAGGTACCAGGTAACCAGGGATGCCATCTGTCATTACACACTGAGAACTCGGAGAGGACGTTGTGGTATCATAGTGGCCCTGCTGGGTTCTCAGTGTGTAATGACAGATGGCGTCCCTGTGTTACGTACATTCTGGGAGACCGGATGTGAGAGGAGGCTTCCCTTGCACCTTGTTTCCTTGGAGACTCTGAGGATGGGAACAGAGCCCAGCGGGACAACAAGTGGCAGGAGTGCCAGTGGTGTTGAGCACTGTGCAAGCCGTAATCCAATGGGCAATCCGAGGTCAGGTTCCAAGCGGGCAATTCCAGTACAAAAGGGGTCAGGCAGAAGAATGGTCAAATAACAGTTCCGAGGTCAAGGCAGGCAGAATTCAAGGTTAATCGAGGAAGTCCGGGTCACAAGGATCAAACAAGATATCAACAAACTGGAACAAGGATTAGCTGACAATAAACCAGCAACATGGTGGTACTGCTGCTGGGTTTATATCGGGCCAGTGATGTCATTTCCTGTGCGCCATCATTGCAGATTTTCATGCTGATGGATTACTGCTTCTGCGCATGCGTGGGATGGCGCGTTCCCGAGCAGCACGGGAACGTGAAGGCCGCACATGCGCAGATGGCGGGGATCCATTACACCCTGATTACCCGATAACCAGGGACGCTAATCTCTCTGCAAGTGGC